GTGTGTGTGTGTGTGTGTGTGTGTGTGTGTGTGTGTGTGTGTGTGTGCTACTTAAAAAGCTCTGTCCCATAAGACAATTGACTCTAAAGGTGTTGTTGTGGTATTTGTCATTAAGCTGTCAGTGATAAAATCTTTAGGTCATGCACCTTGGGAAGCAAAGCTTCAGTGGATTTGACTTTTCTCTTCAGAAGATCCTGAAAGTGTTCAATTGGACTGAGCTCTGGACAATCTGGTCTGACTTCACTCTTTTTTTCTGTACCTCAAATCATTCTTGAATCTTTTTTTTTTTGCTAAGAGCTCATTAGTCTGCTAGCAGAAGTAAATATATTTTAGTCACGCAGTATACTTTGTGAGTAACAYAATTAAGGTAGATCTTAGATCAAAGTAATATCAACTTGATTGACAGAATCCAAGGTTTCTCAGCTATAATATTTCCCAAAGCAACATATTACCTCAGCCCAGCTTCATGCAATGCATCAGAGTTCCATGCTTGAAACAAGTAGGTGATATGAACTGACCCATTCAAASACATGATGCAAATCAACATATTTGTCAACACAGACCACCATTATTGTATTTTTCATTTTGAATATTCACTTAGCCATTGTATTTGCCTTTTATAACATATTTCAGGTAAACATTTCTACATACAAAAATTGACTCTGCAATGTTTCATTATAYGTATAACATTTTAGGTAGAGCAATTTGAATTGTCAATTCACTGAACCAGAAAACACAATCTAACATTTTGCCTCCCATSCACAACAATCCCCCAATAATATTTTGCCTTGGACAATGATTAATAAGTTCTGAAAATTTTAAACAGAAAAAGAAATCCACGAGAGTTGCAAAGATGGCATGAAACAGATTCAAGCCAGCATAACTTACTTTTTTTTTTTTTTTTTGGTTTATAATTAAACATCTTCAAGTACGGGAGGTTTTATTTGCTACCTAACACATCCCACACACTGTCAAAAACCATTAGGATGAGCTAAACCAAATTTCTGCTTCACCTGTCATTAGTCATAATGTAGTGACTGGTTAGTATACATGCAAATTTTATTTGAGGAAAAAAATCCTTTAAAAAATCTTATATGTTGTACCTTACTTGCCTTTGAAAGAGCTATTAGGCTTGTTTGGTTTGATTCCTGTAGCCCATCTGTTGTAATTCAAGTAGATCATAACAGGTTCATCTGCTGCATCATTATGAGATCCATTTGGCAACGATCTACTGAGCAACAGGGAGATTATGCACAGTCAGGAAAATTACTACACTCTGTCAGGATGGGAGAAAACGACCCATAAATATGCTGCGATGCCTCTCTCARCCCACCTCGGGGCTAAACAGACACCAAATATTTTTTGCTGTAAATATGCTAAACGGTTGCCCACAGACAGCAGAGCAAACTGCTGACACTGACATGTGAGCCCACAAAACAATAACACAGATGTAGAGTTCTGCCTGGAGGTGATCCTTAAAGTGTTGGTGTGTTTCATCATATGAGCCTTGTCTTATTAGCTTACTGTCAGAGTAGACACCATGAACTGTAGTGTTTTCACAGAATGACCTGCCTCTCTCTGAGCATGCAAAGCTTTCAACCAGAGACTGAATCCAAATAAATACTGAACAGGTAACTACAAGTACTTTCCTGTAGCTGTCTAACTTTCCCCTGTTCTTTTTTGTCCCACCAGGTTGTTTCCAGCTATGTAACGTTTTCCGTCAGAACATGGAGATAGACCAGTGTCTGCTGGAGTCTCTCCCCACTGGCCAGCGCCAGCGGCTGGTCAGAAGAATGCGCTGTGACCAAATAAGGGCATACTATGAGAGGGAAAAGAACCTTCAGCGACAACAAAGTGGGATCAAAAGTCGAGCCCCATCCACCCACGGCAGGAAGCACCGTGTCCGTTTCCGGCTCGCTGAGGTTTTACAAGATGCCATCATTCGCCATGATGACAAAGAAGGTGTGTGTGTTTACTTGGGAGTGTAAAAATAAGTTCATATCTTTGTTTGGGATTTTGGCAGTAGATGTGTGAACAAACAGAATGAGAACTGGCATCAGACGGGCAGTACACAGATGCAGCAGAAGTGGGCCAAAACAGTGCTGCTCATAATTTGTTCAGCTGGAAGCTGCCCACTCAGCTGAGGAGAGCAGGGAGAAGCTGTCAGCCTCGCTTAAACTGTCCTCAATGACAAAAATACCTAAATRGAGATGAAAGACACTCATTTTTTCTTGGTTAAGCCTGATTGTTTTTTTGCTACCTAAACAGTTCAGTTGAAATTAGACTTTTCAAAAAATAATTGCAATTTTAAACATTGGAATTAAGGGTGCAACATTTTTTTGTCATTTATGTTCACAACAGCAATCCTTTTCTCTAACACAGAAACCTTTTCAAATCCAGGCCTTTCCAGGAATTTCTGGCTATAGGCTCAGCATCAGTTTGACATTTTGCATGGGCGCTGTGAACGGCTGCAGTCAATCGTTTTACTGCGCATGTGCAAAACGAATAACAGTAACAATGGTGGATGGTGCTGTTTGGACTGTTCCCTTTTTCTAATGTATCTGAACTTCTAAAATTGAACATATTTGTTCTGCATCATCGCTTTGGTCAGCAAAGTTGCATTTCATACATTCTAGAACTAGTGTCTGTCCAAAAAACACTCGCAATTTTGGATGTAACTTTTGTGACTAGACTGAAGTGTGTGACTGGAATTCCTGTGTTGACCTATTTGACTTAGTTTTCTAACTTATTCCTAGAAAATAATAGGGGTTGTTTCAKCCAGACTCCTAATTGGAACAATATAAAAAATCACCTTTTAAAGGAGAATATTTGCACCTATGTAACTTATAGATGATGCAAGGGTAGCCTTTGCACTGCGAAAACTGTCCAGCTTACCAAGTTTTAAAATCTTATATCCAGCCAAAAAGTCTTTTTGATCTTGTTTTGAGACAGATTTACTAAACAAGAACTGATTGTGAAAGAATAATAATCTTGTTTTCAGAATATGTAAGATTATTTGTCTTGTTAGTCTGAAAATTTGACTCAAATTAAGTCAAAATTTTCTGCCAATGGATAAGAAAGTTTTACTTGATGAGATTCTTGAAATAAGAAAAAATTGAGTCAAATCAAGTATTTTAAGAATCTTATCAAGTAAAACTTTCTTATTCCATTGGCAGAAAATTTTGACTTAAKTTGAGWCAAATTTTCAGACTAASAAGACAAATAATCTTACACATTCTGAAAACAAGATGATTATTTTTTCATAATCAGTTCTTGTTTAGTAAATCAGTCTCAAAACAAGATCAAAAAGACTTTTTGGCTGGATATAAGATTTTAAAACTTGGTTAGGTGGACAGTTTTTGCAGTGTAGCTTTTTGTGTCATGGGAGCCTAATGCAACAAAAAGTTTGAGCTAGAAAATATGGTTATTCATTTTATCGTTTTATTTATCTCATATACAGTATTAAGTAGGACTATTGAGCAAAAACATATATTTTCATTTGCTTTCTGAGTAATAAAAATACCCCTCATTCCATAGATCACTTCAGCAGTAAAGTACATAAAAAGACTGATAAACTATAATATTTTAGCTACACAACAAAGGGCTATTTTTTATTGTTGTTGCCATATTTTAGTATAATAAACTAATAATCTGCTTTGCTTTCAAGATTGTGTGATTAAGATTAAAATAAATGGAAAGGCATTCTGGTGTCTCATTTAAAATAGATTAGGAAATAGAGCTAAATATGGATCTTGAATTAGATATAGATTTAGAAACCAAAATATTAGATTATGTTAGGTTGCTTTAAGGAAGGCCTGATTTTATGAAGTTGGCTTTCATGTACTGCTGACAAAGCATCTGGGTAATCACGTACATCAGTAATATTCACACTCTTACACATGGATTCAGAGGAACATTTAGTTTCTTATCGTTTGTCTTGTACAAGAGCAAAGATAGAGGAGAATGAGATAAAGAAAAGCAAGGCAGGAAAAACTGAGAAGGCTGGACAAAGTGAGAAAATGAAAAACTGTAAAGTGAAAAAAAATGACAAGCATTAGGCAGGAGGTATCAGCTTAGACTGACGATTATGGTGTTAAGATGAAAAACAGTACCATACATCGCTGTCACTGGATTGGACCACACTGCACATCATCTCTTTCCTATCTGTCGCATGCAAACATCTGGCTTCCATCCATTTTGGCATTTGTAAAAATTGCTTTTCCAAAGTCAATCTCCCAAATGCATCAAAGTCGGACAGGAGAGAAAAGGCAGCACGTTTTTGTCCTTGTAACAATGCTACCTAAAAGTTGTGTTTATTGGGTCCTAGCTTTTCAGCTGAACATTTATCTGAGGCTCAGCTCCTGTCAACGCAACACTTCAGTTATTTAGCTGCTCGGTGGTCAGTGATGTGGCCTTGTAATCCTGAGAATGTAGTTTTGAACTTGTGTTGCATCAAGAAGGGCGTTGGGCATAAATAATAGGGTGTTTACTTGATGTGGCGACCCCTGCAGGAGGGAGCAGCCAAAGAAAGAAAGAAGGAAAGTTAAGGTTAATTTAGCATGCAAAGAAGTAAGTGATATGAATTTCTTCAATGAATTCTGATGTATTTTATTTTCGCATCTGTTAACTATTCTCACAACTCTTCCCTACAATCCCCATCAGCCACATTGACCAACATACAATTGGACATAAACAAACACTTAATAGATAGTCAAAAAACATTCAAAATCATAAGAAAATGTATTCCAAAGTATTTTATTCTCTGGTGTCTTTTAGCACTTTCCTTATGCTAAAACTCAAATATTTTTTTTCTTTGGCAAGAAAATAAAATAATAACACCTCTGCAGCACAATCACAGCCATTTCAAATCGTTTTAAGTGTGACTTAACTGTGAAAAAATGTGTTATTTTTGGGATTTTATCTAAGTCCCAACAGTAATTATCCTGTTCTTTTCCCATCTGTTTGTTGTGTCTGGCTGGTCAGTGTGTGCCTTCTAAAAGTAAAATGTCTGTGCTTTTAGAATGGTGCAGCGTTAGTGTTTGTGCAATCATGCACATGCACAAGAAGTTGGCTGCACTTTTGATTAATGTGTATAAAATGGTCATGCAGGTGCTCAGATTCTGAACAGATGAGAAACTAAAATAAGCAGAGTTAATATAAAGATATTACCTCTAGTTTTTTTTTTCCTTCCTCATCTATCTTCTGTTTGCTGTGGTGCATTGGGACCAGGCATTTGACAAAGTTATTGTGCAGGGAAGAAATGTGGAGAAAAATACAGACATTTGTCTCAGATGCACCAGACTAAAGATATGTCAGATGTCTGCCTCGGTTTTGACAGAACTGGGCCTTTGCCTAAAGAAGAGGAAGATGGGAAAAATGCAGAATATATATCTTTATTTTTTTTTTACTAAAATCCTAATTGTTTCTTCATAAATCTTAGTCTGAAGATGCAGAGATTGCATCAAGCTTTCTTTTTTTTACTGGAAGTAATGGTTATTTAAGCTTCACATATTACGGATCATTTGATGACTCATTTTTTGTCTCTTTAGAGGTTTAATTTTATATGTCAATATTTGAGTGAATGGTGAAGAGAGTATGAAAATCAAGAACAAGTAAAATATTTTTTTCTCATAAAGACCAGTTTTTGTGATGGTTCTAGACAGTCCTTATGTCCATTGTTGTGTGATAAACAACCAAAGATTCACCAGCATTTATAAGGCAGAAGAGAATGAAACTTAATATTGAGCTCCTAAGTAATATTGCTGTATCTGTAGAGAATATGTTTGGATGTTATAAGAAATAGCAATAATGCTGTAAGATACATTTTATAGAGCTTGCATCACATGGGTTTCATTAGATTCATATAATAACATAGTGTACTTGAAGAAAGAAAAACTCAAGTTTACTTGCAGGATGAATCGTTTGCATCACTTTAATGACCAACCTGTTGTTGTGAACACAGATATATGTAAAGTTTTCTATAAATACAATCTACATTTTTATCAAGAAACCTAAATTCTAACAGTTTTCAGCTGATGTCAACTAGCTGGTGAAGAACATTTGAGAGTCACTATTAAACTAACATTTTACTTACTATACTTATTCAATTTCCTTAATAGGCTGCAGAGGCTTGTCATTTGGATTTAAAGTCTTAAACTCTTTTCAATTTAGTTTCTGTGATTTGAGAGGGAAAGAGAGAGACAGAGCAGTATTTTGACACCTTTACAGGGACTCACTCGTTGACTGAAAACATCAGAGGCTTCTGACTTAAATGCCTTGATGATTATTTATATCAAAACTGGTTTTAATCTAGCATCAATTCAGAAGTGAACTCCAAGTTCTTGGCAGCTGCCAAGTTATGCTGAAAGTGGGTCGATGCAGGTATAGAATAAACTGCAGATGTCAAAAATGGAACTGTATGACTTGCTTGTAGCATTCAGAATTTGGTGACTGCAACTGAAAATTCACCCATTTTTCAGAGGCTGAACTGCATGTTTGTCCATGCCGCAACTCTAACAATGTATTGAACCAGACGGAAGCACAGTGTGCGTTTTTGCTTGTGTGACAAACATCTGATGAATAATAATCAAATTTCTTGTATTTATTTTTTTTTTGTTGAGATTTCAAATCAAAGTTAATTCAGTCATTTTGGCAATATTGTGTTTTGGTATCATAATGCAGAAAAGGCTATATTACATATTTATATTTTATGGAGCAGAATTTATATAAAAAGTTTGTTTATTTCTTTTTTCTTTTTTTCTTTTTTAATTTTAATTGATTTGTTGATTTGTTCAAGTCTGACCAATGATAACACTCAATTAGCCCTTTCATGCTCAGTTTGTGTTCACTGTTCATGTACCTGTGGGTTAGATAACATTATTGTCTGTACTTGTTCAATAATCTCAAATGAGTCATTGTAATTTCATAATATAGATTTACCATAGGTGCTGTATTCAGAGCAG